CAGACACTGACACAGACAGACAGACAGACAGACACAGACACACAGACACACAGACACTGACACAGACACAGACACTGACACAGACAGACAGACACTGACACAGACACAGACACTGACACAGACAGACAGACACAGACACTGACACAGACACAGACACTCAGACACAGACACAGACACACAGACACACAGACACTGACACACAGACACTAACACACACACACAGAAACAGAGGTTAAAACTGAAGCAGACATGCAGACTTTGATAAATGAGGCTATTCTGTATCTTGAGCAGAGACAGGAAACTGATCAAGTAAAATCAACAAGGATATATGCTAAATACAAGAATGACGCATTTCAATGCATGCCTGAACATATAATCAATGTGGCAGGGAAAGATATCAGATTTCTAGTTGACTCAGGAGCCACAGAATCAATCACTCATTAGAAGTCAGGAATTTCAAACTACTCCAAAAATGAGCGCTGGATGTCTCAGGACAGTGGGGGTTTCAGGGAAACCTCTGGTGGAGAGATTCACAGCAGCTTCAACATGCAGTGAGGAGATTGAAAAGCATTTCAAACATTCTTTTTTGCTGTTAGACCATTGCCCTGTTAATCTCCTCGCTCGAGATTTGATGTGTTTGTTGGGCATAATTCTGATTTCCACTCCCCATGGGGTTGTAGTGGCTAGAGTTTCTGAGATGACATCACAGTTTGTTAAACAGAGTCAAAAGGAGTTGCTATGTGATTATCAGTGGAAAATGCCAGAGGCAGCAGTTAACTCAGTTAATCATTCCTTAATCGCGGAAGTCAAGACGCTTTTCCATAACAAAGACACTCAGACAGACTTCATGTCCCCACAAGAACTGGGCTGAAGGTCACACGTACTTCTTGTTGCTGGTACGAGCTTTGAGAAAGAATGGTTAAGAAAACATAAAGATAAAAACACACTGACGCTGAACTGGTTGTATTGGAGCAATAAAAGATGTGCTGTTTCAGTTATTGTGAATGATCCACACTCTAAAACTCTGTTTCAGATCCCTGACTCAGTTCCTCAGGTCCCTCTGGTCAAAGCTAAACATGACTGGTGGGAGGATTTAGGACCCTGGATGAAAACATGCTGGTGGGTGGGGAAAGACGTACATCGTAAAAGATTCTTTGCTGTAGTGACTGCAGTGAGAACTGTCAAGCTCATTCCAGATACAGATTTCAGATGACAAATGTGACAACAGATGGTAAAGCAACGATTGATAAACACATTTTTGTTAAAGATGTCTCAGACATTCCTGTGAAGTGCCCCTCATGCTTGTGGGCACAGGGTAAGTATGATGTAGGGCTAATTAAAGGTGCTGAACCTGTAGTTATCACCCCAAAATCCCCATACAGACCATGTCAAAATCAATATCCTTTGAAAAGAGGCTGTTGAAGGCATCAAGCCAGTCTTTGATTCTCTTAAACTTGTCAACTCAGCAGTGTACGCACGGGCGCCAAACGTCCCAAACCCTCACAGGTACCACCTGACAGTAAATGGTTTTCTGTGGCAGCTGCTAGAAAAGCAGCCATGGCATCTTGTGATATTGTGGGTTATTCAGACTTGACTTTGTTGGCTCCACATGCTGTCGATGATTTTACTTGAACAAAAAACATCTCATCTCTCCACAGCCAGGTGGCTGAGATACAAAACACTGTGTTACTTGATATGTCTAACATCACTGTTCAGAGATGCACTGTGTTAAATCCGGCTACTCTCCTCCCATCTCCAGGTGAAGGACCGCCGCATGAGGCTGCAGCAAAACACACACTAACCACCCAATGCACTGTTTAAACTGACCCGCAATTGACTCCTACAGCTGATTTGCAGGAATTACATACGAGAGCCAGCCCAGAGGAAAGAGCTGTGTGGAAGAAAGTAGGCTACACATTTTCTGACAATGTGGTATGGCCTGATGGGAAGCCTGCCTGCCTAAGTATCTGTTTCCTTATTATGCTAAGTTGACACACGGTAAAGACCATGTATCAAAAGGGAGTATGTCACAGGAAATAAACAGACACAAAGGGGTTCTACAACTTCTCCCAGACATTTTGTCAAAGTTGCATTATTGCACCAGCTAAGATCTCCAGTGATAACGGCACACCTTTCATTAGCACAGCACAGAAGAGTGTAGGGGAGGATATGGGGATTAATCTGAGGCAACACTGTGCTTATCATCCAGCTAGCGGAGGTGCAGTAGAAAGAGAGAACTGTCACGATCGTGGTGTGGAGGCAGGTTGGAGGACTCAAACGCAGGACACAGAGCGGAGCAGGTATAGTTCAACGAAGGGTTTTAATATAACCAAAAGGGAGCACACTTACAGGTGAGTGGCTGAATAACAGAAATCCAAAATCCAAAAGTACAGGGAGACAAGACAAGCAAGGCTGGTTACAGGCAGGCAGAGAGTACACGCACGACAGACTGGGGGGTAAAATGAACAATGACCGGACAAAGACAAGACAGAAACACCAGGTATATATACACAGGGACTAACGAGCAGGGCGGGAGCAACACAGGTGAAAGACATGAGGCTAACGAGGCACAGGTAGGGAGAGAGAGAGAGCAGGGGAAAACAGACATGCAGAGGGATCACTGGGGTAACAGACATGACAAGGGTTACCGAACACTAGACGAAAGACAAGACAGACCCCCAAAACCCAACAGACCAAAATAACACTAATTAACACAAATGTGCAACACAAAGGATGGCCAACCGGCAGAGCGTGACAGTACCCCCCCACCGACGAGCGTCTCTAGACGGTCAACAAAACCCAAAACAGCACAAAAACAAGGCACAAGCCGGTCCAGGGTGGGCGGAGGGAGGACAGGAGGAGGGCCAGACCAGGAACTCTCAGGTGGGTGGCCAGAAGGCAAGGCAAGGGGGCGACAGAGTTCGGGAGGTCGCACAAGCAGGCCAAGGGGATAAAACAGTTCTGGGAGCCGTCCCAGAGGGCGACCCGACAGGCCGAGCAAACAGGGGGAAAACACAGTTCAGGAGGCCGTCCCGGAGGACGACCCGACAGGCCGAGCAAATCAGGGGGAAAACACAGTTCAGGAGGCCGTCCCGGGTGGCCAGAGGTGAACAAAAGTTCAGGAGGCAGACCCAGAGGTCGACCGAGCAGACCAGGAGGGCAAAACAGTTCAGGTGGGCGTCCCGTGGGACCCAACAGGCCGGGCAGAACAGGGTGGCCACAGAGTTCGGGAGGCTGCGCCGGAGGTCGACCCAACAGGCCGGGCAGAACAGGGGGGCCACAGAGTTCGGGAGGCCGCCCCGGGGGACGACCCAACAGACCAGGCAGATCAAGGGGGCCACAGAGTTCAAGGGGTTGGCAGGTCGGCCAACAGTGAGGCAGCAAACCCACTGGGGGCCGAGCAGGAGGCCTCTCCGGAGGTCGGCACCCAAAGCTTGGGTGCTCTGGAGGCTCAGCTGGGCTGAGGACCACCTGCGAGACAGCTGGGCTGAGGACCACCGGCGAGACAGCTGGGCTGAGGACCATGGACCGGACACGAGGAGCTGGAGTCGGTCTGACCACCGACTGGACAGCAGGGCTGGGGACCATGGACCGGACACGAGGAGCTGGAGTCGGTCTGACCACCGACTGGACAGCAGGGCTGGGGACCATGGACCGGACACGAGGAATGGAGTCGGCTGGGCCACCAACGAAGCTGGTGTTGGTCGGACCACCGACGAGGGAACGGGAGTCAGCTGGGCCACCAACAAAGCTGGTGTTGGTCGGACCACCGACGAGGGAACGGGAGTCGGCTGGGCCACCAACAAAGCTGGTGTTGGTCGGACCACCGACGAGGGGACGGGAGTCGGCTGGGCCACCAACGGAGCTGGTGTTGGTCGGACCACTGACGGAGCACGAGGAATGGGAGTCGGCTGGGCCACCAACGAAGCTGGTGTTGGTCAGACTGCCTACGAGGGAACAGGAGTCGGCTGGGCCACCAACGGAGCTGGTGTTGGTCGGACCACTGACGGAGCACGAGGAATGGGAGTCGGCTGGGCCACCAACGGAGCTGGTGTTGGTCGGACCACCGACGAGGGAACAGGAGTCGGCTGGGCCACCAAAGGAGCTGGTGTTGGTCGGCCCACCGACGAGGGAACAGGAGTCGGCTGGGCCACCAACGGAGCTGGTGTTGGTCGGACCACCGACGAGGGAACAGGAGTCGGCTGGTGATCAGGCTGGCTGCTAGCAGCGCTCTCCACTCGACCTCCCAGTAACAGCGACCAGTCAGACCCTCTCTACACAGCACCTGATGGAACTTGTTGAACCTGTCTTGAGACCTGGATGGTATGGGACGTGTTATCTAGCGTCCCATTCGTGACCCGCCGGTCATGTCCTACGAGTCACACAGTAAATCGCACAATAACCACACAATAACCACACAATAAGCCACACAGACTGTTGCGAGTCCAAGGAAAGGTGGGTGAGTGAATGAGAGATGAGTGAGAAGCGAGACAGAGAGCACCCCTCTGGCTCTGCTTATGTGGCCCACTAATTGCCACTGATCAGCCACAGCTGCAAATTCAGCGAAGCGTCACACTCAGGGTACAGGTACACACCTGCAGGAGAGAGACAGATACACCCACAGCAACACAAATACGGCACACAGACCTCACGGGTCGTAACAGTGGCTAACTAAGTTACAACTTCTTATCTTGTCTGGACAAGAAACGATCTGGAGTTGGACAGTCAAAATAATGTTCATGTGATCTTTCGTGACGTCTGACTGATATTCAAAGCCTTTCCACAGTGAACACAGGGCTCAAATATAAAGACACCCAAATCACAAAACACAGGAGGAAAGGTGAAAAGAGGGAACACGTGCTACACTATAAGAAACTAAAGAACAAACTGGGAAAAGCATTTCTTTATGGACAACTGCCTCTACAAACTTTTGGCCATATACTGTAACTTCCAGCTGAATGGTGTCAGTAGTCCTGAGCTGAGAAAGACAACAAACACACTCACAGTAACATTCTGCTTTTATTGGAACAAGAGCCAGAATTCAAAGCAACACATGACAGAAGGTCCAAGTCAACGGCATTTCCACCATTTAATGATCAGAGCTTCCATCTTTAAAGGACTGGAAGTGGAAGAAGTTTACATGGAAATGAGGAATCTGTTCAATCACTTTGAATCACTTTGTACAAAGTTCATTGATGGATTTATTAAAAGAAGCTGAAAGATTTCTATGATCCTGTACAGACTCAGCTGATCTGTTCTCTACCAGGAGGAGACTCTCCCTCCTACCCAGAACACAGAAGCTGTTTCTCAATCTGCATTCTTGTTGGAACTTGTGTTATTGTTGATTTATTTATTTATTTAAACATCATCAGTCGCAGCCCAAGTACTGTTCCAATTCAAAAGTCCACATCAAGCCAAGTACAGTCAAATACCCGGATGTGTTCCCAGTCCGCCCGTATTACTGAGCCAACAAGCAGAAATGGCAGAGGAGAAGACTTACAACTGTAAGTTATAATACTGCAGTTATTGTGTCACAGAATTCAGTTTCAAGAGTTTTTATGTGTGTATTCTTTAAACTCCAAATGTGTGGTCGAAGATAGAGCTGATATAAAAATTTGCTATGATGTTTTTGGAGATGTGAGCTAACGGGACCGGCCGTCATCAAGTCTGCTGCTGTTCCAATTGCTGAATGACGGACTGCATGCTCCCATTCCTGGGAGTTTGTACTCCCAAGCCGAACTTGCCAAGTCCGAGCTATAAAGTACAGAAGTCCGAACTTAGCGAACTCGGTATTGAGAAACAGCCAGAGACACTGAGGAAGCAGACCAGAAGACCCCAAATCCAGGATAAAGAGGTTCAGTGAATGTGGTGTTAAAGGTGTGGAGGTGGATCAGTGTGTCAGAGGAGACTCTGTAGAAGGACAGAGAGCCAGCAGGACAGTCCACATACACTGCTACTTTGTGAGAGACAGTGGAGGAGGAGTAGGAGGAGGAGGAGATGATGTCTGTTCCTCTCTTATTGTGCCTGACATTGTAACCATAACGACCACCAACATCAGAGCAAATCAGATTCCAGGACTGATAATTCCATCCAAACTCACAGTCTTCTCTGCCTCCTCTCCTTTTGATTCTTCTGTAACTCACTGATATAGAAACACTTCCTCTCCACTCGACCTCCCAGTAACAGCGACCAGTCAGACCTTCTCTACACAGCACCTGATGGAACTTGTCGAACCTGTCTGGATGATCAGGATATGACTGATCCTCCATCACACGTGTCGCCTTCCTGTTGTTGTCAGACAGTATTATCCATCTGTTTACTGTGTTTGTGTCGATTGTGAGTTCACAGGAATCTGATGAGAGAACGAGACACAATCCAGCTGCAGTTATTGATCTATCATCTGTTCATTGATTGGCACTTTGAATAAGTGATGTCACAGTCTGAAGATGGTTGAATGTTTTCATGAATCAAATGAAAAACACACTTACACTTCCTCAGACCTGGTCTCAACCATTGGACTCCAGCAGGCTCCACCCTGAAAGGAGGAGGGGGGTCAGACCAGCACATCCTCTTTCAGCATCAAACACGGACATTACATTCCTCTCTCGCACAAATACACAACATGTGCATCCAGTCTGCTTCTCCCTGCTCCCCTTGAACCTCTTCACCTCTGCCACTCTGTAACCCCAGGTTTGCTCTGCATTTAACTTGTGAGTGGGCATTCATTATTCTTTCATGTTTGTATCAAAGTGGACTCAGTAAATAAAATGACTTGTTTGTATTATTGAGCTGAAATTTGCAGTGCAATGATCATGTTAAGCCAAGGGCATCCCATTTAGTAGGAATGGTAGAGACATGTTCAGACCAATATCCAGCAGCTACTGAAGTGTCCCTCGCAATAATTTGGATCCAGAAATGAAAATATAATCACTGTTGTCCGTCAGCATCTAGTCGATGTATTTGGTACAGAGTGCAATGGGTTTTTAATTTTTGAAAGATAACGTCTTCCCCCTGATACGCCTTGCAGTGGTTTAGTCCACTGACTACCCTTTTCAGGCCCTCATAGACTTTATTTCTAAAAAGCAACTACCAATAGATCTAGCGAGTTATTCAGACCATCGGGGGAAGGTGAGAAATATACAAAAGTCTGTCATATTGTTGGCTAATTTATTCCCCTGCATGCTGCCCAGATAGACAAGGGAGCTGAGGCTGCGGGACTGTGGAGCGACGAATGAGATTCTCTGTGCAAGAATAAGTAGGGTTCCTGGGAACTGCGATGCCTTGCTTTCACGTGGACCCCTAAAAATAACCACAACTGGGCTGGGCCAGGTGAGACTGCATGCATCCAGCCATTGTTTTTGCTTTTTCTTGTCCCAGAGTTTGTCTCTGTCCTGCACTTGATGTTAAATATTCTTGGATGTGTGTTTACTTAGCCCGTTCTCATCTCAGGGCGTCATATTCTGTCGATTTGAGAAAGAGTGACAAAGCGTAGGTAGCGTAGGGTGCTCTGGGGCGTCCCGTACAGACCAGAAGTGCTAGCTAGCTAGCTACCGCTAGCTAGCTAGCACTTCTAGCAGTAGTAGTGTCACGCTGTCTGAAAGTGTCAGTTATGACGCATTGAGATGAGAACGTGTTGGTTTACTTGTTGCGACTCCCATCACAGAAAACATCATGGAAAATATTCTGCAGTCCAAATGATTATATACAAATCTGAGAGAGTGTTTGCCTTGTTGGAAAACGCACACATTGGTGGTACTTCCTCCCTGTTAGACAGGTTCTTTTAAATAATCATTTGAGAACAAAGTTGAATGGTTTCATGTCTGTGTGTTAAAGTGAAGAGATGAAGAGGATTAATAGCACTGTTTGTGCTAAATTCTGTCGTTATTTACCATTTTGGGAGGAAAATTAGTTTAAAGCACAGTTTCTAAATAAACAAGACACATTTTACTCATCAATAACTGTCTTGTTATTATTTGAAGAACTAAAAATAATATGGAGGGACACTGAACATGTGAGATCTTAATATTAATAAACATTTACATTTTTAACATGTTGTGATAACTATGTATATGCCCCTAACAGGGTGGAATGCCTTCACAGTCAATGTCTGAACTATCCACCCATAATTATAATTATCTGATGCCTGAGATTAAACCTATAGACCTATATCTAACCTTCCATTTCTCTCTAAGATCCTTGAGAAAGCAGTCACCAAACAGCTGTGTGACTTTCTACATAGCAATAGTTTAGTTGAGGATTTTCAGTCAGGATTTAGAGTTCATCATAGCACAGAGACAGCACTGGTGAAAATTACTAATGACCTCCTAATTGCATTTGCAATTAGATCTTGGTGCCGCTTTCGATACCATTGACCATCAGATCCTATTGCAGAGACTGGAACATTTCATTGGCATTAAAGGAACCGCTGTAAGCTGGTTTAAGTCCTATTTCAATCAATCAATCAACATTTATTTCTATAGCGCTTTACAACAACCGTCAGGTATCCAAAGTGCTTCACATCATAGAATATAATAAAACCGCATATCATACAATAGATACATATATCAAAAGAAAAGAAAAGTTAAAAAGGAAACAAGAAATTGTCACACCATTACAGCGTATTAAAAGCCATTCTACAGGTGGGTTTTAAGTTTAGACCTAAAAATAGTTTCATCTGCAATTGTGTGAATATCAGGGGGTAGCTTGTTCCAGAGTTTTGGAGCAGCAACTGCAAACGCCTGATCACCCCATCGCTTATACTTCGACCTTGGGACTTCTAAAACTAATTGGATTTTAAGACCGTAACGACCAGATGTGTTCACGCAGGGTTAAAATCTCAGTTAAGTACTCCGGGGCCAGGCCATTTAGGGCCTTAAAAACGAACAGCAAAATCTTAAAATTGATTCTATACTATAAAAGTGTCCTCTAAAGTGTAGAGGACGGGAGTGATGTGAGCACAACTAGATGTATTTGTTAAAAACCAAGCAGCAGCATTTTGCACAAGTTGAAATGGTGAGATGAAGCTTTGATTTAAACATTACAAGCATTACAGCATTACAATAATCCAACCTCGAACTAATAAAGGCAAGAATCACTTTTTCTAGGTCATGGCTGTTAAGAAAAGGCTTAACTTTAGATAGAAGAAGAAGCTGGAAAAAACTTATTTTGACAACATTACTGATTTGCATGTCAAATTTCATGTTGCAATCAAAAGTTACCCCCAAATTTCTGACAGCGGGCTTAAGGTATGGAAACAGAGCCCCCAAATTCACAGCTGAACCATTTGGGTTACCGAAGATGATATACTCAGTTTTTGCTTTGTTTAAATTAAGAACATTTTGTGACAACCACAACTTAATATCATTAATACAACTAAGTAGGGAGTCTAGTGCGACACTAACATTCGGTTTTAAAGGCAAATAAACCTGCAAATTATCAGCATAGCAGTGAAAGGACAGGTTGTGCTTTCCTATAATATTCCCTAACAGCAACATATATAAAGAAAACAAGATTGGGCCAATAATTGAACCCTGGGGTACCCCACAAGAAAAGAGGAGCAGCTGACGAAGAGCATTCACCAATCATAACAGAGAAGCTCCTATTTGCTAAATAGGAGCTAAACCATTGAAGAGCCAAACCACGAATTCCTACATCATGCTAGAGAGGAGAACTGCATGGTCCACCGTATCAAACGCTGCCGTGAGGTCCAAAAGCACTAAAACAGCAGGATTCCCGGCATCCACAGACAAGGCAATGTCATTGTGTACTCTGAGCAGTGCAGACTCAGTACTGTGACGTGATCTAAAACCAGATTGAAATTTTTCAAGCACAGAATTTTTCTGCATAAAGGCTTGTAGCTGTATAAAAAACAACTTTTTCCAAGACCTTTGACAGAAAAGGCAGATGAGAAACTGGTCTAAAATTAGATAATACTGAAGGCTCAAGATTTGGTTTCTTAAGTAGGGGCCTGACCACAGCATGTTTAAATGCAGCTGGGACACAACCTAGACTAAGACAAGAATTAATTAACGTGAGTATACTCGACCTATTGGCGCTATTAAAAACTTCCTTCACTATCCTGGCTGGGACAATATCTAACGGACAGTAGGTGGGTTTCATGTGTTACTACCTCAGAAAGCAGCGTAAGCGAAACTGGTTTAAAATCCTCAAAAACAGCAGAACGCACAGGAGTAGCAGGTGCAAACACGTTAAAATTAGTTATTTATCAGATTGATCTCAGTTTGTACATGTTAACAATGAATCCTCCATGCACGCCAAAGTTAATCATGGAGTTCCACAAGGATCTATATATAAAACTTTATTTAAACAGGAAAAGTCCCATTAACACACAGTCTCTTTTACGAGGGAGTCCTGTGTGATCTGTGCTGGGACCAATCCTGCTCACTTTATATATGCTTCCTTTAGGCAATATTATCAGGAAACACTCCATAAACTTTCACTGTTATGCAGATGATACTCAGTTATATCTATCGATCAAGCCAGATGAAACTAGTCAGTTAGCTAAACTTCAAATGTGCCATCAGGATGTTAAAACCTGGATGATCTGTAATTCTCTAATGTTAAACTCAGAGAAAACTGAAATTATTGTACTGGGACCGAAGCACCTCCGTGACGCATTATCTAAAGATATAGTTACTCTGAATGGCATAGCCCTGGCCTCCAGCACCACTGTGAGGAATCTTGGGAGTTATACAGGTGCTGGTCATATAATTAGAATATCTCATCAAAAAGTTGATTTATTTCAGTAATTCCATTCAAAAAGTGAAACTTGGATATTATATTCATTCATTACACACAGACTGATATATTTGTATAATGTTTATTTCATTTAATTGTGATGATTGAAACTGACAACTAATGAAAATCCTAAAATCAGTATCTCTGAAAATTAGAATATTACTTAAGGCCAATACAAAAAAGGATTTTTAGAAATGTTGGCCAACTGAAAAGTATGAACATGAAAAATATGAGTATGTACAGCACCCAATTAAGAACAGGGATACCATGGTCCTTAAACCAGGTACAGGTAGCTTTGGCACTGTGTGCAGGTGCCAAGTCCTGTTGGAAAATGAAATCTGCCTCTCCATAAAGTTGGTCAGCAGCAGGAAGCATGAAGTGCTCTAAAACTTCCTGGTAGACGGCTGAGTTGACCTTGGACCTCAGAAAACACAGTGGACCAACACCAGCAGATGACATGGCACCCCAAACCATCACTGACTGTGGAAACTTTACACTGGACTTCAAGCAACATGGATTCTGTGCCTCTCCTCTCTTCCTCCAGACTCTGGGACCTTGATTTCCAAAGGAAATGCAAAATTTACTTTCATCAGAGAACATAACTTTGGACCTCTCAGCAGCAGTCCAGTCCTTTTTGTCTTTAGCCCAGGTGAGACGCTTCTGACGCTGTGTCTTGTTCAAGAGTGGCTTGACACAAGGAATGCGACAGCTGAAACCCATGTCTTACATACGTCTGTGCGTGGTGGTTCTTGAAGCACTGACTCCAGCTGCAGTCCACTCTTTGTGAATCTCCCCCACATTTTTGAATGGGTTTTGTTTCACAATCCTCTCCAGGGTGCAGTT